TCCTTTCCACTCCTGATTTCCCGTGTCCATTCAACCAGCTTCTGTCCCTTTTTGTCTTCTCATCTCACCTCTGGAGAGAAGCAGGCGCTGGGCCACTTTCAGTTGGTTCTCTGTCCCTGGGCTGATAACCATACCTGCCTCATTGGACTATTGAGATGGTTAAAAAGGTTGATGCCTAGAAAGAGTGGGTCCTGACACATAGACACTCTCAATTAATGTTACTATTATTACACCCATTTTACAGGTGAGGACCAAAGCACAGAGAGGAGACTGTCACCTGGCCCAGGTCAGGGGAAAAGTAAGGGACGGAGCAAGCGATGGAGCTGAAACTCAAACCCACACCCTGATGCTGGTGGCGGCAGTTAAAAGCCCCAGGTCCAAAGCAGTCCTTATGTGTATCTTATTTGGTTTCCACAGTGATTTTTGTTTCATTAAATTTGTTGACATTATTTAAAAGTGGATGGTTTCCCACGCAAATCTGCATTTCTAATTTCTCTTAACAAGCTGGAAGATCTGCCACACTGGACCTGTGCTCTGGCTGTGTCATGGATTGAATTATGTTCCCCCAAAAATGTGTGTATCAGTTTGGCCGGGCCAAGATTCCCGGTATTATGTGATTTTCCTATATGCTGTAAATCCTGCCTCTATGATGTTAATGAGGGAGGATGGGTGGCAGTTATGTTAGTAACTCAATCTACAAGTCTGGATTGTGTCCTGAGGCAATCTCTTGAGATACAAAAGGGAGAAGCCAGCAGAGAGATAGGGGGACCTCATACCACCAAGAAAGTAGTGCCAGGAGCAGGACGTGTCCTTTGGACCGGGTTCCTGCGCAGAGAAGCTCTTAGTCTGGGGGAACATTGATGAGACGGACGACAGAGAGAAAGCCTTCCCCTGGAGCTGATACTCTAAATTTGGACTTTTAGCCTACTTTACTGTGAAGAAATAAATTTCTCTTTGTTAAAGCCATCCACTTGTGGTATTTCTTTTGTAGCAGCACTAGATGACTAAGACAGGGTGGCAATGGTTGGCTAAATACACTGGGGTCCCCAGGCTGAAAACTTGGGCCAATTAGCATGTGGCTGGCCCTTATAAGCATCTCTCTAGCATATGCTTCCTCACTGCTGTGTAATTTTGCCACTCAGGGTGGGAGGCAAAGAGAGAGGTAAAGAAAGCTGCATGACAAGCATCGTGGGGTTTGATGTCACATTTGGTTTGGTGGTGGGGAGGGAGATCACGGAGCTTCATGAAGAGTCAGATCACACTAATGTCTGCTAAACCCCATTATGCACTGGCTCTGAGCTGCGTGCTTTTATACAGAGAGTCACATGGATGTTTCATAACCAAATTCAGGTACGTTAATATTAACCTCACTTTATACTTCAGGAGACTGAGGCTCCGAGAGGCTGAGCGACTTGCCAAAGGTCACACAGCTAGTATGCAGGCGATCTGCAACTTGAACTCAGGCCTTGTGATGTAAAGTCCACTGCATCCTGCTGGAGGAAGGGTGTACAAATGCTCCTGGGAGAGGGGGCCCAGTGACAGACAGGGTAGGGGGTTCTGAGAACAGAAAGAAGCCGGAGGTCTAAGCAGACAGGAAGAGGAGGAATGCACCAAAGAGGAAGCCCACTCAGAAAGGAGAGGCTTGGCACCAAACGACTAGGTGGGTGGATGTTGAGGCCATGCTGCACGGCTGGACGTCGAGTGGCCACCGGGCAAACAAATGACCTCCCAGGACAAAGTTGGGTGACAGGTCTTGTGATCCCCAGCCCCAAGCCTACTCGCTGATGACACTTTCTGGTAAGGGAGTGTAAGTATTTATTTCTATATCCTTTTCCACCATTCACCTGTGAGCTCTTCAAAGGACTTATTCCTGGCTGTCCCTGGCACGTGATAGGTGCGTGACACAGGTGTGCTAAATGATGGTCAGATGAATCTGCAGCATTGTGGCTAAAGGTTGTAAATGTCAGGGTTGTTACTCATCCAACAATGGCATCAGTTATGATGCTAAGCCCAGCATCAGGTTCTAGAGACAAAGATGCCACAAGATGACGAGGCCCCTGCCCTTATGGGGCTTACCTTCTGGTGGTGGAGACAGACACTTAGTAGATTAACAAACGTGTAATTCATGCAGTGGCAAGAGGGCAGAGAGTGATAAAGGTGCTATGTTTAGCTGGGGCAATCAGGGAGGGCCTCTCTGTGTAGGGGACGCTTGAGCAGAGACCTGAGAGCAGTAAGGACTCCTGGAGGAAGAGTGTTCCAGGCAGAGGGAATAGCAGATGCAAAGGCCCTGAGTCAGGAGTGTGCATGGAGTGTTTGAGGACAGTAAAGAGAACAGTGTGGCTGGAGTGATGTGAATGGGGGGGAGGGGTTGGAACAAGGAGGGGACAGATCATTTAGGGCTGTGGCAATGATGTTGAATTTCTAACAGCTCAGCTGCTGGGCGTTTCCTCTGCTTATTCACAGCCACACAACCCCAGAGCTCTAGTGGACGCTGCCGTGCGCCATCCACACAACCCCAGAGCTCTAGTGGACGCTGCGGTGCGCCATCCACACAACCCCAGAGCTCTAGTGGACGCTGCGGTGCGCCATCCACACAACCCCAGAGCTCTAGTGGACACTGCCGTGCGCCATCCACACAATCCCAGAGCTCTAGTGGACACTGCAGTGCGCCATCCACACAACCCCAGAGCTCTAGTGGACACTGCCGTGCGCCATCCACACAATCCCAGAGCTCTAGTGGACGCTGCCGTGCGCCATCCACACAACCCCAGAGCTCATACCCCAGAGTTGGTAGTGGACACTGCAGTGCGCCATCCACACAACCCCAGAGCTCTAGTGGACACTGCAGTGCGCCATCCACACAACCCCAGAGCTCTAGTGGACGCTGCGGTGCGCCATCCACACAACCCCAGAGCTGGTAGTGGATGCTGTGATGCGCCATCTAGATCTCCCTTCCAGGATGAAGGCACTCATTCTTTAGCTGCTGGGAGTGTTGCCTGCTGATGGCCAAGACCCCCTACAGAAGTGCTCTCAGTTAGAGGAAGCTGCCTCAACCGAGGTCACACTTACTCCCCCGGGGGCAACTCACTTTGTAGATGTCAGAGTACAAAGACTCAGCCCCTTTGCCTCAATTTGGGAGGAGTCTCAAAGGTTATCCCAGCTCCCAAGCTCCCAGTCAGATGGCAGAGGCCTCTGTTGTGACTACATCTCAGCTCAACTTCTCCCTCTGCCCAATTCTGCTTCCCTTACTCCCTCCAGTGTTGATCCCAATAAACCTACCTACAAACCTCCACCTCAGAGCCCTTGACCGAAGTAAGACAGGAAGAGTGACTTTCACATCTTCTGAGCCTTCACCTGACCCTCATCACTACGCTGTGCAACAGGCAGGACAGAAATCAGCTCCATTTTATCATCAAAGAGACTGAAACCCACAGAGAAAAACAGAATTCCCCCGAGCAAGTAAGCCACTGAGCGCTTGAATTCCAAGTCCTCCAATTTCCAGTTCAATGCTTTGGTTCAATCAATCTGATGTTGACTGAGCTCCTACTAATCACCAGACTGTGCAAAACAGAGAATAAGACAAAGCCGCCATCAGCAGAGGCCTGAGACTAGTGTGGGAGCAGCATCTTCAAACGTGTCCAGGCGACTGCAGACTTTGCTCTGCATGAGTGCGGAGCAGGAGACCAGGTTAGAGGGGGCAAGGTCCCAAGGGGCCTTTTGTGCCCAAGTAAGGAGTCTGGGAGGTAAGGAGGAGCCACCCAAGCATTTTAAGCAGAGGAGGCATGTGGTCAGATTTGGGTTGTATAAAGGTCACTCCCACAGCATGTTGAGAATAGACCAAAATAGTGAGAAGGTTGGAGCTGGTGTTCCACTTTGGGGACTGTTGCAGTCATCTGTCTAATTGAGAGATGCTAGTGGTCTGGGCTGTAAGCAGGGCGGTGTGATGGCGGGACCACCACCCGTCTGTCAGTTTGTCATACTGTGGTGACTTGCGTGTTGCTGTGATGCTGGAAGCTACGCTACTGGTGTTTCAAATATTAGCAGGGTCATCCGTGGTTTCAGGAGAGCTTCCAGACTAAGAGAGACTAGGAAGAAAGGCCTGGCAATATGCTTCCATAAATTAGCCAATGAAAACCCTGTGGATCACAACAGAATACTGTCTGCTATAGTGCTGGAAGATGAGTTCCCTAGGTTGGAAGGCACTACACAACAGCCAAAACAATGGACTCAAACTTGCCAATGATCGTGAAGACGGTGCCGGCCCAGACCACGTTTCATTCTGTTGTACGTGGGGTCAGTATGGGTCAGCGTCGACCCGACAGCACCTAACAACAACACCAATGATGGAGAGAAGCAGACGAAGGGAAGAGATAAGTAACAGGAAGAATGGACAGGGTACAGGATGGACTTGGTGTGGGGAGGGACCGGACTTGGTGTGGGGAGGGACCGGACTTGGTGTGGGGAGGGACCAGAGGTATCAGGACGGCATCCAGGCCCTGCTCTGGGCAGCTGAGATGCCACTGTTGAGACAAAACAGGGCAAGAGCAGATTTGCGGAGAAGATGATGAAGTTGGTTTGGGACAAATTGGGACTGAGGAGCCTGGGGGCCATCCTGGTGGAGGTATCTAGATGGGCAGTAGCACATGTGATTCTGAAGCTCAGGAGAGAGGCGTGGACTAGAAAGGCCAATCCAGGAGCCAGGAGCATTGGAAGAGGAAGGAGACATTTGAGTGGCAAAGTCACCGGGGACACAGAGGTAGGAAACTGGCGAAATCTGGGGTATAAGTGTGTTTTCTTGACCTGCTCAGCATTTATTTATTTTTAAAAAGTATCTGAAATCATCATCGACATCTCTCTTTCTCTCTCTCCACATCAATCAGCCAGCAACTCCTGTTCTCTACCTTCCAGACACATCCAGGGCTTCACCCCTTCCCATCACCTCCAATACTACCACCTGGTCCAAGCCACATCACCTCCGGCCCATGACTGTAATGACCTTCTAATGGATCCCCCCGCTTCTGCCCTTGCCCCTACAGACCGTTCACAACACAGCAGCCAGGGGATTTCTGTTACTAAGGCAGATCGCTTTACTCCTCCACTCAAAAGCCTGCAATTCCGCTCAGAGTAAAAGCCAACTTCTTTACACTGGCCTCCAAGGCCCTGATGCTCTGGTCCCTCAGCCCTCCTTGGACTTCAGCCACTATGCCCCTCATACCCTCTGTCCACCATGCAGGCTTCCTGCATGCTCCCGCACATGCCAGGCACTCTGCTACCTCAGGGCCTCTGCACTTGCTAGTCCCTCTGCCTGGGGGGTTCTTTTCGCAGCTAGCCACCTGGCTCACTCCCAGTGAGGCCTTGCTTTCCCCTTAATATGCAGCTTCTTATCCCCCCACCCTGCTTTCTTTTTCTCCTTAGGTTTTTTTTTAGCTTATTCATTTACTGTCTCCCTCTACAACCAGAGTGTAAATTCCACAAGGACATAGATTATTTGGTTTGTTTTATCCACTGCTGCAGCCCCAGTGCCTAGAACAGGTGCTCAGTAATACTGGTTGTCTAGAAATCAGGAGATTCATGTGAAGTTCTGGGTCCCCAGTCTCTCTAGTACAGTGGGAGGATCTGGCAACCTGGGCCATTCCCCATGGTAACAATCAGATGGCGCCAAGCAGTGGCTGCCCCTTTTAGACGTCTAAGCCACCACAGTACCCTGCCCTGGCCAGATTCTCCTACTGGCCCCTGAGACATCTGAGTTTTAGACCCCTGTGAGAAACCTGAGCTATCCCCAGGCTGAGGCTCTGAGATGGACCCCCAGCTGCCCTGAGCAGAGAAGCCTTCCTGCTTGGCCCTCGCTGGCAGCAGGGCCTCCTGGAATGCCCCGTGTGGCCAGCACTGAAACATCACCCGCCTGATCATCACAGCTATTAAAATGCCTGTATCAGTATCAAAGGGAAAATGCCAGGCGGCTACTCACTCCCCCTGGAGAATGCAGCTTGGCCAGGGGCTTGGGTTTAGGGGCCACTCCCTCCCCATGCTTCAGTCCCAGGGCTTTTAAAGGGCCCAGCTCAAATGGTACCTCTGTTGTGTGTGTGTGTGTGTGTGTCTGTGTGTGTGTGTGTGTGTGTGTGTGTGTGTGCTTGTGTGTAGGGAGGCGGGGGAGTCCCAAGTTATGGTACTGGGGAGAGAGCCCAGGGGAGGGACCAGGTGAGCTCTGCACTCCACAGCCATGACCTTGAGCTTGTCATCTCTCCATCCCCCACCCCCCAGGGAACCATTTCCTCATCTGCAAAATGGGGATATTAAACTTCTGATAATAACAGCTACACATACAGCATTTATCATCAGGCACTGCACTAAGCATACATTCTCCATATCTGGGTGGAAAAAAATCATTTAATAATCAATGTTTAATATTATTCATGTACAGTTCCTATCATAACCCACCTGACCTTGGAGGCTGGGTAGGAAGGAGCCTTGACCCTACTTGGAGTTGGCACAGAGGGCCCCAAACACTGATGAAACATCTACTGTGTGGAGAGCTTGCAGTGTGATAGACAGGGGCTGGAGCTACAAACAGGGGTGCTAGGACCTTGGGCTCTAGTCCCAGCTCTGCCACTAACTGCATTAAGCGAGAGATATAACCCCCCTGGGCCTCAGTTTCCTCTACCATAAAATGCGGGTAATATTAGCTATCCCCTAAACTACATAGAACCACTGGAAGGATAAAATGAGATGAGAACAGAAAACAAAAAGAGGTGTCCAGGTGTGAAAAAGAACAGCCACCTGCTATGCCAGCTTTTTCTTCTTAGTGGCCAGGTGAAGGCCACGTCGTCTCTCTTGAGCTGGCGCCAGGCCGTCTCCTCCCACCTGTCACAGTGAGCCTGGCATGGCCTCCTCTGGCTTGGCCTCAGTGCGTGCACCAGTGTACCACAGCGGGCTGACAGGGGATCAAGTTTCCTGCACTTGCCATGGCCTCCCCTCCTGAGAAACACAGGCCCCTGTCTTCCCAAAAGAAGAAGGGTGAGTGAGGGTCCTGCCTGCAGCCCTGCCCTTTGGCCCAGAGAACTAGAAGTTGAATGAAGAGAAGTTGCCCCTGGAAATGACCACATCGGGCAAAGCTCCAGCACCTGGGCCACAACACTGAAACAATGCCTGGCACAGAGTGGGGCCTGGGTTCCATCTCCAAGAGCCTTTTCTATCCTATTGCAGGAGAACTGTCACTGGCTGGCTACCCTGCTAGCACTGAGCCAGCCCTTTAGGGCAGGGGCCAGGGTCTGGAGTCTCTGATCTACACTCAAAACTAATTACTTACTTTCAGGCCTGCGCTCTAGGATTCAGCCCTGGGTCCCAGGAGGAGGTGGAAGTTGGGCTGCGCTGTGGCAGAATTTGGGCAGATGGGGAAGAGAGGCCATTCCATCAGAGAGCAAAGGCACAGATGCAGGACAGGTGCTCAGTGCTGCCTCTGGGTAGGCCTAATCCCAGGGACCACAGGAGAGGGCTGGCCTCTCAGAAGGGGCTTGTTAAGTGGACAGGCCCATGTGCGGCCACATGCCCCAGAGCGCAGGCAGCAAGGCCGCGGATGAAATCGAACTGGAGGAAATCCAGAGCCCAAGCCACACCCACTGTGACTGGGCTCGCCTGGTCTCTCTGGGTGCAAGTGTGGGGGCTGGGAGGGGGTGCCATGGGGTTCCCGGGGAATCTATCTTCCTCCTCCCTCCATGGCTCTCTTTGTGCAAGGGACGTGGCACCTGATCATAGACTTCAGGGCCATGAAACAGCGGGCCGAGGATCTGCTGGATGCCACTGACTGCCTCTGCCCCCATGTCACCAGACCATAGACAAATGTGGCCCCAGGCTCTGCAGTTCACAAAAAGTCAGGGGAAAGAGGCACATGCCCCTGCGTGAGCTCTCCTGTGAGGAAGTTCTGTCTTCTAGCTAGCCTAAGGCCCTGCTGCTGCCTCAGGGGAGTCAAGGAGCTGGGCCCTGGAACTGCGTGGATGGTGGGGGAGGGAGGGGAGCTGGGTTGGCACAGGGCCCAAGACCTCAAGGGTCTCAGGGGCCTGGAGCAGGATCAGGCAGTGCCCCCTACTCTGGGGTGGGGAGGGGCTGGGGCTGGGAGGCCTAGGATGGAAGTTGGAGCCTCTTTCCTTTTTCTTTCTTCCACAAATGGGTATGAGCACCTACTACGTGCAGGACACTCAAGGTGCTGAAATGGGTATGAGCGCCTACTACGTGCAGGGCGCTCAAGGTGCTGAAATGGGTATGAGCGCCTACTACGTGCAGGGCGCTCAAGGTGCTGAAATGGGTATGAGCGCCTAC